TACATTAGATCACGCAGGAGGGAAGGCTGTCACCTTATAAAGGTTGTGACCAAAAATTATGTAAATAGAAGAACAATTTATATTTTAAATTTAATTTTAAAAAAATCTTTACACGCGTGGAATGCGCGACATCATATGATGTCATTCTTAAATTTGTCCTTACTTTTAACGTCATATGACGTCCCTAGATTACATTTGATCATGCAGGAACGAAGGCTGTCTCATTATGAAGGTGGTGACCAAAAATCATGTAAATAGAACAACAATTTATATTTTTAATATAATATTAAAAAAAACCTTATACGCGTGGAATCCGCGACATCATATGATGACGTTTGGCCATCTGCCCTAACTTTTAACGACATCATATGATGACGTTCGTCCGATAAAGGTTAACATCCATAACTGTTACATTATGTACAATTGGACAAGTCAGTTTTTTTAAAAAATATATGAGATTAAACATCACATCAAATTAAAATTCTGTTATCATCGGTATTCCTATAGATTTCAATGAGAAACAAAAAATGTATATACATAAAAACTGTTGTTTTTTTTATGACTGAGCTTAATACTGTGGCAAGGAAGCCCTAGTCCAGTTCTTGATTAGATATTCTAAAGGATCTGGATCTCAATTTGTGCTAATCCAGGGCTGATATGAATACAGGCATTTACACAGTGGCATTTGCTGAAGAATGACACATGCATTCTTCATCTGTACTTACTGTCATATGTTTGAAATAAAGGAAAGGATTCCCTTGTTTTTGTATTAGATATCACATACTAGGAAAGAAATAATCTACTACAAACATAAGAAGGCTGTTGTGATTTTAAAAAAATTCTAGTTTAATTTCACCTATGAGATTCATGTAAGCCCTTCCAACTGGTGACTGGTTCACCTGTACTCACTGCAATTCAGTGTGACCAGTCAACCAAAGACTCTAGATTCAGTTTAAACTATGGGGAGTAACTGGCTAGAAATAATAAATCAGCCTGACATATATGTAAATCTTTCTGAACTCCAGTTTTGGAGGCACATCATCACATCTTTCGAATTGCAAGTTCTGGAGAAGCAACATCATATCCAAATCACATGCATATTAATAAATCAACATCCATCTTGGTATATACAAGCTACAACCTCATGGTACACAGTATAGCAGTGCAGAACAGACTTGTGTTTGTGCAAGATTTATTCATTCATCTGTAATCTGTCAAGACGACAGGTCCACAGTCTCTTCCAAACCAGTTCCTCCACTTGATGCGATCTAGAGCTTTCTCTTTGAAATGAAAATATCCTCTTCTGTCCCCAAGGTCATCCAGCATCTTCTTACGTCTTCTTCCTCATCTTCTGGTCACTTCTATTCGCCCCTCTATCTTTCCTTCAATAACTTCTTTTAGAAGGCCGTTACCACGTAAGATATGACCAATCCAATTAGCCTTCTGTTTTCTTATTTCGTATAGGATATTCCTCTGTTCACTGACTCTAATTAACACTTCTTCATTTCTCACATAATCGGTCCAACTGATCTTCTCCATCCTTCTCCAACACCACATTTCGAAACTTTCCAGATGTTTCTGATCTACTGCCCTAAGTGTCCATGTTTCAGCCCCATACAGAGCTATGCTCCAAATGTAGCATTTCACTAGTTTCTTCCTCAAATTTAAGTCCAATTTGCTGGTAAAAAGATTCTTCTTCTTGCTAAATGCAGCTTTTGCCATGGCAATCCTGGATTTAATTTCACTAGTACACCTTCCATCATCTGTTAACAAGCTACCCAAATATTTAAAACATTTCACATTCTCCAGCTGTTTTTAGTTGATCTTTATTGTGACTAGAGTTGGTTGTCTCGAAATTTTCATTACTTTTGTTTTTTCCACATTCATTTCCATGCCATAGCACCTTCCAATTTCAATTAGTCTATCAATCATGCCCTGTATCACAGTTTCTTCCTTAGCCATTAACACAAGGTCATCTGCATATTTCAAAGTTTGAATAATTTGCCCTCCTAATTTGAAGTCTCTGAGCCCATCCAGAGCTTCCTTGGTAAGGCACCCGCTGTATAAGTTGAACAGAATTGGTGATATACAGCATTCTTGTCGAACTCCTCTTCCAATCTGCACACTTCTTGTCTCCCCTCTGTCCAGTCGTACACTAACTTTCTGATCCATGTACAATTTTCTAATCAATCTTCTTTCACGCCAATCGATACTTGTTTTTTTTTTA